CGGAGGCCATATGGAAGCCTTGTGGAACCTGGCGCGGGAGACCCTGGAGACCCCAAAATCGAATCGATAAGTCGGATCGGCGATCGACGTAAACCGGACCGGAGGAAATTGGCAGCCGAATCTGGAAAAATCGAATGGGCGGAAATCTGCAGACTGTATGCGTCCAATGAGAAATCGGAGCCCACATCGGAATCCCGAGTCGAATCGAATCGGAATCGAAAGCCATCGAAGACAAATCAAACCGAATCGGAGGAGTCGAAACGAGCCCTGCTAGTGGGGGCCTTCTCGGGCCGTCTGAGAGCTATCCTTGCGTTATGTTGTTCCCATCGTACTTCAGGACCACATCCCAGAAATCATTCCGAGCACCCGGAAAAGTGTCGAAACAAAGTCGGACGAGTGTCTCCCAGGGCCCGACACGTGAACCGTGAAAACCCTCGAGGTTCGGTACTTTTCTGGTGCTCGAAATTCGTCCTGGTGGTCAAGGCGAAAGGAGACATTTGTTTCTGGAATCGGCGATAATCCGCGTTATCTGGGGGGTTCAGACAAGCCGCTTGCGGTCTCTCGAGGGCCATTTTAGGGGCTGGTGGGGCTCCTGGGAGCCGCTGCGGAGCCTCTGTGGGGGCCTCCCTGGGGCTTCGGGGGGCCTTTGGGGGGCGCCCGGGGGGGGGGGGGCCTGCTGGCCGTGGAGGAGGCTGGATCGGGGAGAAGTCTGCGGAATGTATGCTCGGGGTCCCCCTCTTAGGGCCGTCCTGGGTGTCTCCTGGACGATCTTGATGGCCTCCGGGGCACGATTTTGGAGCCATCTTGGGCTGCCTTGGGGCCCTCTGGGGTGCGCCTTGGGTGCTGGGACGATCTCTGATTCTTCTGCTGACGTCTCGGGCATTCTGAGGCCAGAGAAGGAGAGTGCAAGCAAATTCCAATAGCGTCCGCTCTGAGGGAGTGTCTTAGAGTCCTCTCGGGGCATGTTGAGGGTCCTCTGGGCCTGGGCTCCATACCCTGAGCCAAGGCACGGTGGCAGGATGGGCCGAAAGCCATTCGATCCGCCGCTCCATGTTGGCTAACCACAGGGGTGCCCAGCGTGCTGGACCCTAGACGGTGCTCTCCCTTGGGGATTCGGCCTGTCCCGCCGGCCACCCAGAAGGCCGCACCAGGGACCCCGATGTCCGGACACATGAAAAATTCTCCCAAGGCGGCTCGCGATGGCTTTCGAGATCGCCAAGTTGGCCCAAGACGGCCTTGGGGCGCTCGTGGGCCGTCTTGGGGATGTCCTGGGCCAACTCGGAGCCCTCCTGGGGCTGGACGGCGGCGCACTTCCAGCAAGGGCGATACGGGCGCAGCCGCCCAGGGCCCGGCCCGAGCGTCTTCACAGTGTCTTTTTCCGGCAGACACGATGTCCGATATTGTTATGCACTCCGGATGGAATGTGTTGCCAGGGGGGATTAACCTTCTGACTGGGCCTGCTCAATCCCGCCCCCATGCATCCTCCTCCCCCTCCTCATTCTCCTCCTCTTCCTCCACCCCCCCGTCCACCCGTTCCAACAGCGCGTGCCCAACCCCCCCAGCGGATCCAACAGGGGGCGATTATTGCCCTATCCAGTGTAGGTGGCGGTGGGCTCCAACTTCGCCTTCCGCATCTCGCCGAGCAACGCCAGAGCCCGCTGCCACTGCTCGCCCTTCCCGCACGCGTTGATCCCAGCATTGTAGCTGACTACATAGGGCTGACCCGTGGACTCCGTCCACGACATCTGGCAAAGAGTATTCTAAGGGGGAGCGGCGGAAATGGTGCCGAAAGGCTATCCGCCCCTTCCACAGCAGCGCCCCGAGCTGCACCACCGGCACGCTCCGTGGCGCCTGCCGGCGCCGCCCGACGGGGACGATGACGGCGGCGGCGGCAGCGGCGAGACAGAGAACGCTTGCGGGGAGGTAGTTCGGGCGCGCGGCGCCCCTGCGCGATGATCCCACGGTTATCCACTTAGGGTCTCCTACGGGCCGTGTGGGGGCCTCTTGGAGCTTCTTTTGGGCTTCGAGGGGGCCTCTGAAGGCCCTCGTGGGCTCTCGTCGGTGCCGTCTCGGAACCGTCCTGGGCCGTTTTGAACACCTCTTGGGCCGTCTGGGAGTCGTCTTGGACCGTCTTGGCGGCTCTTGGGGCTGTCTTGCGTGCCTTCGGGGCCGTGTTGGAGCCGTCGTGGGCCGTCTTGGGCGCCTAGTGGCCGTCTTCGGGCCGTCTGAAGCCCTCTTTGGGGCTGTCTTGGGTCCAAGAGGGCCCCAAGAGGGTCCCAGGACGCCGCTGGGCGCGGGCCCGTCATTCAGCCACGAGAGGCCTTTCTGTGGCAGAATGCGCCCGGCCCTGTCCTGGAGGGGCCCGAAAGTCTCAAGAGGGCCGCAAGAGCGCCCTCCCAGGGGGCCCCAAGAGGGCCCCAAACCGCATGTACTTGATCTGCTTCTTGGGCTTGCGAGATGGGCACCCAAATACATGCGTTTTGGGGCCTTGTCGGGGCCATCTTGGGGCCCTCCTGGCCCCCGCTTGGGGCCCCTCGGGAGCGCTCCCACCCTGTTCTGTCCTCCTCTTGGGGCCGCCATGGGCGCCTGAGGAACCGTCCTGGGCAATCTTGAGGCGTCTTGGGGCCCTCCTGGCAGCCTCCTGAAGCATCTTGGGACGATCTTGAGGGCCTGTGTGGCCGTTTTGAACGCTTCGAAGACGAAAAGCACGGGAACTCCCGAAATGTGCGTTTTCCCTTGGGATTGGGACGATTGCTCCTTGCTCGGGCTTTCCAAGGCTCTCTATGGAGCCCACTTGGAGCAGTGTCGGGGCCTCTTGGGCCGTCGGGCGGCTGTCTTGGGCGTCTTCGAGCGCTCGGGGCCCGTCTCGGAGGCCTTGGACCGTCTTCGGGCCCTCTTGGAAGCCTCCGGGGGCGGCTCTGAACGCTCTTAAGCCATCATGGAAGCGCTGGGGCCCCGGGGCCCTCGAGTGCACTTGCGTGGCGGGACCCGCCCAGGCGGTGAACGCCGCGGCCAGTGGAACAGCAACAAGGCCTCCCAGGAAGAACATCGCAAGCCTGGTAGGGAATGGGATAAAGGGGTTACCCCTCCGAAAAAAGGCAGCGCAGCCGTGCTGAAGCCAGCGGCTGCGGGAGAAAAGAAGGAGCAAGAAGGGTGCACGGCAAGAGGCCAGATTAAGCTGTTAAAGGGGGAGCCCCAATAACACAGACATGCATTTAGGAGCCTTTTCGGGCCCCCCGAAGGTTCCCTGGGCCGTCGTGGAGCCCACTTCGATGCGAGCCTCTCCGGTGCTCCTCCGGTGTTTCATGACACGTCCGAGAGCCCATAAGAATAACCGGCATGGGACTGAACTACGTATCCAACCTCTGCAACATGCCGTGAAACTTGAAGCCATCTCGGAGCACGCTTGAGCCACCGTGGGGTCTCCTTGCGAGCCTCTCCGATTCCCGAAGACGCGCCCAAGAGGCCCCCCCGAATTAACCGAAATTCAACAGAACAGCGTGCGCAATCCAGACGCGGTTTCTGTTAAGTCTGGGCGTCTCCTGGGCCGTCTTAGGGCCGTGTTGGGGGTCTAGGGCCGTCTTGGAGCCCGTTTTGGGCTCTCGTGGGCAGCTCTCGGGGCCTTATCGGGAGTGCCTCGGGAAGAACCCGGGGCAGTATTGGACCGTCTTGGAGCTCTCTCGAGCCGCCTTAGAACGCTCTTGGGCCGTCCTGGGGCTCTCTTCAAGGCCTCTTGGGCCCGTGCGGGGGCGACCTGCAGGGGCCCTGGAGCCGTCTGGAGCTGTTCTGGGCCCGCTACTGCAGGGGGCCCAGGGACACACACATTCCAAGATCCCCCAAATTTTGCAACATGCTCTGGGTGTTCGTCTTCCCCCCCACTCCCCATAGTTCTCCATACTTTCCTGGCACCAGAGAGACAGTCTATGATCTTGGACTCGGGGCCGTCGCCGCGGTCCTCGTGGACCGCCTTGGGGATATCCTGGCCTGCTCGGGGGCAGCCTTGGCCGGCTTGAGGACTCGCTGGGGATCCTCTATAGGGCCGTGCGGGCGCGCCTTCTTGAGCGCCTCTGCGCCGTCTTGGTCGGGCGAGACTTAATGGGGGGGTCATAAACGGGGGGATCAGAAAAGGCCCCCTTTCGTACCCCTTTCGGGCCCCTCCAGAGCCCCAGGGGGCTCGTTTAGGTACCGTTTGGGTACCTTTTCGAACCACCCTCGCCACCCCCCCATTTATGACCCCCCCATTACGCAGCGCCCAACTTGGGCCGTCTCGAAGCCTTCCAGTGGCCGTCCAGGGCCGCCCGGGGAGCACCGGCAACCGTCCAGGGCAGCCCACGGAGCGCGCCGAGCCGCCCCGGGCGCAGCGCCGAAAGTGCCGCCTCGAGCACGCGCTGGTCCTGGTGCTGCAGGAGAGATGACGGTGGGCTCCAGCTTCGCCTGCCTCATCTCGCGGAGCAGCGCCAGCGCCCGCTGCCACCGCCCACCCTTCTCGCACGCGCTGATGCCAGCGCTGTAGCTGACTTCGCGCGCGCGGCCCGCGGCATTGCAGGAGAGACCAGGACGAGCCTGTGGAACACCATCCGCAGGATCTGCCCGAGCTGCAGGCAGCGCTCGAGGGTTCTGTGGCAGTCTTGAGGGCGTATTGGGGCCCTCGGGCCTTCGGGGAGCTCTCTGAGGCTGTCTTCACCACCCTGGGAGGTCAAGAGGCCGAAGTCGACCTGATGACGGAACAGAACGGCCCCGGGATGACCCGAAGACGACCCGAAAGGCTCCAGAGAGGGCTCCAGGCGACCTGGACCGAGATCAGCCCGAGCGCCTCCTCCGGAGCGGTCTTGGAAGTGTCTCGCGTCGAGGAGCGTGGAAAACCGAGCACCGTGGATACCCAAAGGGCCTTGTGGTCTGCTGGACGGCCCCCCAGACGCCTCTTGGGGCGTCTATGTGCGGCCTCCTGGGGGCTGTGCCGAGCAGCTTCTGGGGGCCTGGCTTGGCCAGATCGGACCCTGTTGGGGCGCCTCGTGGACGTCTTGGGGCGCCCTGGGGCCGAATCTGGCCCGCAGGCAGCGCCGACGCCGCTCCAGGGAGCCCCGGGAGGAGCTTATTCCTCCTCCTCCTCCTCCTCCTCCTCCTCCTCCTCCTCCTCCTCCTCCTCCTCCTCCTGAGGAAAGCAGGGGGGCCTTCCCCACGCGCAGGTGCCCCGGAGTTGGAGGGAGGATGGCGTCGGGCTCCAGCCTCGTCTCCCGCATCTCGCGGAGCAGCGCCAGCGCCCGCCGCCACTGCTCGCACTTCTCGCACGCGCTGATCCCAGCATTGTAGCTGACCAGGGCTGACCCGCGGCCTTCTGGCCGGGGAGTCTGCCCGCCATGGTGTGGACGTGGAAATGGCCGCTGAAGGGGGAGGTGGGCGAGGGATGCAGGCAAGCAGGCCTGAAGGCAGGAACGCATGTAGGCACAATGTGGTGTGGACAGAAGCTGTGTCTCACGCCGCGCTCTGTGTTCATCATAGCCATAGCTTTTGCGGGGCGGGTCGCCGAGATAATTCTATCTGCTCTTAGCTTGGGCCGCGTGATATATGACCCAAGAGGCCCGCAAGAGGGCGCCGAGACGGCCTGCACTGGGGCCGCTCAGGCGCCCGGTGCACGGGAGGATCACCGATAGGACGCTGGAGAAACTGTGAAGTAACTGTCACTTTGGTTTACTTGGGCTGCGCGTTAGGAGCCTTCTCGGGGTGTCTGGGCACTCTTGGGGCCTTCTTCGGGGCATGCTCGGGACATCTCTGTGGCTCCTAGTATCGGCTTTTGGGCCATTTTGGCCGCTCTCCTCGTCCTCCCCTGGATCGATCATCCAGTCGATCTTCTTTAGGAGCCATCTCGGTGTGTCTGGACCGTCTTGGGGCCTCCTTCGGGTCATGCTCGGGACATCTCGGTGGCTTCTATCGGCGTTGGAGGCCATTTTGGCCGCTCTCCTCGTCCTCCTCTCCTCGATCCTTCATCCCGTCGATCTTCTCGTCAGTCGTCGACGCTCCCCAAGAGACAAGCATTCAAGGCCTCCTGGGGTCCGTTCCGTTCGGAAGCCTCTTTTCGTCCTCCTGGGGGTCTCTCGGGCCCTCTTGGGCCGTCTTGGGTGCATCTTGGGCCGCCTTGGAGCGATCTGGGGCCGTCTTGGGCGCCTCTGGGGCCATCTTGTGGCCGTCTTGGGGCCGTCTTGGGCCGTTGTTGACCGCTCTTGGGGCTGGTTTGGTTGCCTCTGGGGCCGTCTCGGGCGTCTCTGGAGCCGTCGCGGGGCCGCCTCGGGCCGTTTGGGGGCCCTCCTGGGGTGCTCTGGGGGCATCTTGGGGCGATCGGGAAGGCCTGTATAGCCGTCTTGCACGCGGTGAAGACGAAAAGAGCGAGCATATCAAAAATGCACGTTTTCCGAAGTGAATGGGGCAAATTTTGCCTCTTGGGTCCCTCCTGGGGGTCCTCCTGGCCCGCTTTGGGAGCCTCCTGGCCTGCCTTGGAGGCCTCTGGGGCCGACCTGGGGCTCGGTTGGGTCCCTCTTGGTCTGTCCGGGCGCCCTCATGGGCGTCTCTGAGCCGTCTCGGAGCGGCCTGGGGGCTCGCAGGGCGGCCTGGAGAGCCTGGCCAACCTTTCAAGACAGAGGACCTTCTGGCACGCAGAGATCGCTGCATTGTAGAAGAGACCAGGGCGAACCCGTGGACTTCGTCCGCGAGCTTCTCGAGGTGGTGCTTGAGGACCGCGATTCAGGAATCGGCCCGAGATGGCTCAGGGCGCCCTTCGCTTTTGAGCGCCTCTGTGTGAAGGGCTGGTCGCGTCACCGCTCGCTCTTGGGCGCTGTGCCTGGGAGAGCTCTCTACGCTGCGGCTCGCTCTTGGGAACCTTGGTGAGAAGAGCTTTGTACTTCACCGATCGCTCTTTTAGTGGGCGTCTCTGGGCCTGCTTGGTGGTCCGTGTGGGGGTCTTTTTCGGGCCATTCTGCGGCTTTTTTGGGCTGCTCTGGGAGCGTTGTGGGACGTTTCCATTTGGGGCCCTCACGGGGCGTCTGGGAGGCTGTGGACCGTCTTGGAGCTCTCTTGAGGCTGCCTGAGGCCGTCTTGGGAGCCTCTTGGGGCCCCCTCGGAGCTCTCCTGGGGCCGTCTTGGGGTTCTGCGAGGCCGTTTCAGGGCTCTCTGGCGTCGTCTTATGGCTCTTGTGGGCCGTCTTGGGGCCCTCTCAGGGGCCGATGGCGTCTTCTTGGGGCGATGTGGGAGGCCTCTTGGCCTCTTGGGGCATCTTTGCGGCCTCTTGGATCGTCGTGGAGCCCCCCCCCGGAAGGCTTCGAGCCCTCGTGGGCCGTCCCGGGACCCACTGAAGCCGTCTTGGAGCGCTCTTGGACGGTCTGGGACCCCCTCTGGAGCGCCTCTCGAACCGGCCTGAGCGATTCGGCCCCGTGGTTGCGCCGTGAAGAGGCGATTTTGTCTACTTGAGGCCCTGGGCTTCTCGCACGCGCTTCCACCGGCCATGTTGGAGAGACTAGTGTGAACCCGTGGACTAAGTCCATGATGTGTTGAACCTGGGACTCGCACACCGTGGGTGAAAAGCTCATCGAAGTTGAACAGCTCGGACGTCTCTGGGGCAGTGTCGGGACCGTGTTGGGGCCGTCGTGCCAGAGGGCACGAAGAGGGCCCCCGGGGGGCCCCAAGAGGGCTCCAAGAGGGCCCCAGGACGCCGCCGGGCGCGGGCCCACCATTCTGCCACGCCTGTCTTGGAGGGGCCCAAAGGCCCCAAGAGAGCCGCAAGAGCGCCACCAGGGGACCCCAAGAGGGCCCCAAACCGCATGTACTTGATATGCTTCTTGGGCATGCGAGAGGGGCGCCCAAGTACATGCGTCATGTGGCCTTGTCGGGGCCCTCTTGGGGCCCTCCTGACCCCCTCTTGGGGCCCCTCGGGAGCGCTCCCACCCTGTCCTGGCCCCGTCTTGGGGCCGCCATGGGCGCCTGAGGAGCCGTCCTGGCGCAGTCTTGAGCCGTCTGAAGAACCTCCTGGCAGCCTCCTGAGGCGCCTTGGGACGTTCTTGAGGGCCTGTCTGGCCGTCTTGGACGCTTCGACGACGAAAAGCATGGGAACTCCTGAAACATACGTTTTCCCTAACAGTTGGGACGATTTTTCCTTGTTCGGGCTCTCCTGGGGCTCTCTCTGGAGCCCACTTGGAGCACTTTGGTGGTCTCTGGGGCCGTCGGGCGGCTGTCTGGAGCGTCTTGGAGCGCTCGGGGCCCGTCTCGGAGGCCCTCTTGGACAAGCTTCGGCCGTCTTCGGGCCCTCTTGGGGGCCTCCGTGGGCGGCTCGGAGCGCCTGCCCGCAACGGGCCGAGCCGGGCCGATGCTAATTACCCGGCTGTCTTTTCGCACGCGCTGATTCCCGTACTGTAGTATAGATGACGTCGGGCTCCAGCTTTGAATCCCGCATCTCGATCAGCAGCCGAAGAGCCCGCTGCCACTGCTCGCCCTTCTCGCACGCGCTGGCCCCAGCGTTGTAGCTGACTGGTGTTTACCCGTGGATGAGATCCACGGTGTGCACAACGTGTCACGCGCTCCCGTTGCACTTGAGGCGACGACTCCGCAGGCAGCAGAAGGAGGCCGGGGGTCTCGATGCGGACGACCTCGCCCGGGAGGGGTGCCTCAGGAGCCGAAATGGCGCTTCAAGGAACGCGTGCCGCGGCTTGGCACCCAATTGAAGGCTCTCGAGAGGGTCTGGGGAAGGTCGGAGTGGTCCAAAAACCGGGGGGAGGACTGGGGCTTGTTCTGGGGCCTGCGTGGGCATGGGGAGGGTCTCCTCTGTCGCCCCTGCTTGGTTGCCGGGGCTTATGGTCTGAAGGCCTCTTGCTCGAGTGCTGCGGGAAGGCTCCACGATGCTCACACCGGCTCCCGAAAAGGCGAGGGCGTGCCACGGCCGGGCCACCATGGGAAGCTCTTGAGAGAGCCTCTTGCCGTCGCTCGGACGTCCATTTCCCGTGAATGTTTTGGTTTCGTGCGTGTTTTTTTTTGCTCGATGGTCCAGGATGGTCCTCGATGGTTCTCGCCGAAAAAAATACACACGTCCGAGCGATGCCAAGGCCTGGGGCAGGTCGGCGTGGTCGTGGGCCTGGGGTGGAGTCTTGGGCTGGGTTTGGGGGCTGGCAGGGGAAGGTGCCCCTCGTCACCCCTGCTTGGGCACCTGGGAGGAGGAGGAGGAGGAGGAGGAGGAGGAGGAGGAGGTGGAGGAGGAGGAGGAGGAGGAGGAGGAGGGGGAGGAGGAGGAGGAGGAGGAGGAGGAGAAGGAGGAGGAGGAGGAGGAGGAGGAGGGCCCTGGCTCCAGGGCCGGAGGAGGGCCCTGAGATCCGAGCCTGCCGATCCTGACGCAGAGAGCGCGTGCCGCGGCCTGGGAGCCCGAGGAGCCTCTGGAGGGTATCTCGGGCAGCTGGGAGTGGTCTGGGGCCCGGTGTGGAGTCTGGGGCTCGGTGTGGGGCCTTGCGGGGCCAGGGGGAGGTCCTCCACGTCACCCCGGCTGGGATGCCTGGGGCGATGGTTGGTCTGAGGGCTTTCTGTTCCAGGGCTCCTCCTTCGCCTCCTCCCCCTCCTCCGCCTCCTCCTCCTCCTCCTCCTCCTCCTCCTCCTCCTCCCAGGGTTTTCTGTTCCAGGGCTTCCTCCTCCTCCTCCTCCTCCTCCTCCTCCTAGGTGGTGGTCTGAGGATGTATGGAGACCACGATCCGAAGGCTCTCGAGGGGACCTGGGGCAAGTCGCAGGGGTCTGCAGGGCCTGGCGTGGGGTCTGGGGCTTGGCTTGGGGCTTCCGGCTCCTGGGGAAGGTCCCCCCTGTCACCCCTGCCTGGGTGCCTCATGGGGTGGAGGTCTGAAGGCTCTCCGCTCTGGGGAAGGCGCCCCGGAGACTCGCTTGGCGGCCCGCGGAGTGCATCCAAGGCAGGCGCGGCGAAGCCGTAGCAGAACAGCTCGTTGGACCTGAGCAGCTTCGCGGAGCTATGGGCCTTCAAGAG